TGTGTGTGTGTGTGTGTGTGTGTGTGTGTGTGTGTTACATATGTAATATATATGTGTGTGTGAAATAAGAGAACGAATTTCGTACATACGTTCACGTACGCGTACGTGAGTGCGCGCAAATATTCGTGGCAAAAAGGCTCTTTCTCATCTCCGAAGCATTTCGTTGCTAAGCATTGCCGCGGAAATAGTGAACTTTATTAATAGACGATGAATTTATATATAGGGTGTCTCGTATACGAGAAACAAGCTAAAAGAAGTGAAAAAAAATTACGATTGAAATAGAGCCATCGAAATATATTTATTCGCAAGTAGGTAACTCAAAATTACAAGACTGCGGCAAATTGAATTTTGACGGTAGACTTATAAGTAAGGACTTCTCAGTTCCTATTTAAGAAAATTTTAATTCGCGATATAATTGACAAAATATTTAATATCGCATACAGACAGATTGCAATGACTGTGTTTGTAAAATTAAAAATCATTTTTCAATCTATTAAAAAAATCTGAAATTAAAAGAAGACTGTTCAATATTGATATGACATCGTATATATTTCTGAGAAGAAACGAGGATGAGGAGCAACGAACGCGATGGAATTTTTTGATGAATTACGAATATCGGAGTGTAGGAAAACGAGAAAAACGAAGCGAAAATGACGCTGTAAGAACTTCATCGATTGGCAGTAACTCAATATCCTTGAAAAGCGCACAATGCACCGTAATTGCGATGGGGATCATGGTCAATAACCGCGTACAATCCACGCCAAAATGGTATTTTTACAATTTCCCAAATTATATTTGAATAAAGAGATGTCTCATAAAATGTCTTATAAAAAAGTAAAAATTTCGTTAAAGATCGATTTTATTAAAAAAAAAAAAAAAACATCGGATAAATTTAGAGCAACTTTAACATAGCTAGTTTAATTAAAAATGTAAAATAATCCAAAGCTCGTATATTTATTATTAAATATGTATTGTTACCTGAAATCTGATTCAGTTTGATTTCAAAAGCGTTACAGCTAATCATGAAACATTCACAGTGAAATTTCATATCTGTGTATGAGACCGCGAGCGGTTAAACAATTACACTTTGTTTTGAGATCAATTAAAATTGAAAACAATTACTTACATATAAAATTATAAAATAAACTTAGCGCAATTTAAATATATAAATAAATATATATAATGAGGCTCGAAAGAATCTATCAGTGAAGAAGCCCATTAGAGCCTACATCAGCTATTCCGACAATTTAGTTCGTTCTTCTTTATCCAAATGCCAAGAACGAACTAAATTGTCGGGAATCATCAACTTGAAATTTGCGTTATTTATGTAATTTCGATTTCTATTTTATATTGATAAGGACCCGAATTGTGGGATTGAAACGTATATTTTATTTGTTACATTCACACGAAAAATAAAGAATTTCTGTGCATCCGAATAGCTGATACAGGCTCTGATAGGCTTTTTTACATTTTTCACTGATAAGAAAAGACTATAATAAAATCAGATAAAAATGTCAGAAATAATGTCAGTTTAGTAACTCCAAACATTTTTATTAAATAAAGGAATTTCTTATGCATTTTGTCACACATCTTCTGTATATAAATATAAACGATAAAACTTACAGATTCATTATTGCAATAATACTATGCAATTTGTCACTCACCGATCCGACGCGCAGCGGCAGAGCTGGCGATGCTAACTATGTTGAACCTACAAAATACAAATACGTCGAAATTACATGTGATGTCTCTAATATATAATAATTAATGTTTCGCAAAATAATTCTTACGCGCACGAAATAATTACAAACCACTAAGCCAGCGTCAGATTAAGCACGACTCGTGATTCTCGATTCGTAGCGTATTCGCAGAAATTTATCATTCGCTACAATTCTCCACACCGCTCGCGATTCGTTCACCGTTTGTATAATGCAGCTCTATATATACCACCTTGATTTATGATGTTATGAATTCGTGCTCTTTGATTTCGTCGAAAAACCGTTCCGCTCGCGAATTGGCGCAAATGATGAACGACAAATGCAACGAATCTCCGTGTTATTCATAATTTAACTTTAATTCCGCGATCACGTGTCAGATACGGAATAAAACGATACATAAAACAATATATGAATAGATACAATGTACAAAATACTCACTTCGTGATTGTTCTGCCGTCGCCCGATGCCTCCTCCTCCTCTCAGTTTCCTTTGTCGCACAAGTTCCTTCACTCGCGAAAACGTAGTTAATTATACGAGCGTAATTATTATTCGAATATGAGAATCGCGCGGTACTTTACTTTAAACGGCACTCCCGACACGCGCGATATGCACTTTACTGCATTGCAAGAGAGAGATACGCGTATTTTATTAATAATCGGTGAGCCGTGTACGTTAATCCACGTTTTCGAACTGAAAATAATAAACGAACTAAATGTTTCAACCGAAAGAGAAAAAGTCGAGGCGCAAAATAAAATTCATTCAATCGAAGGAACAACAATCGTTCGTAAGAATCGGGACGAATAGAATGAGAAATAATGGCTGCGTTCAGCAGAGAAAGCAGCTTCGCGACCGTTGTAAAATTCTTCAATACGTTTGGTTTTATACGTTCGGATCTACAAGAAAAATCGAAAGCGAAAACCAATTGTATTGAAGAATTTGACAACAATTGCAAAGCTGCTTTCTCTGCTCAACGCAGTCATTGATTTACAATAATTTCATTCTCCATCATTCTCATTTCGCGGATGAATAAGTCAACAACTCGCCTCGACAAACGATTATCGTTATACGCAGAGATTAATTAGTCGCTTGGTACAACAATTACTAATTGTTCTTGTAAAAGACGCTCGCATTTCCCTCTCGATACTTTGAGAAATGATAACGTCACGCCTACCGGCACGAGTGTCGCATCGCGAATGCGGCAAGGGTGACCGATATTGTAAACAACAGCAGTACGACGTCAAAGCCAGAGTTGTAATAAAGTATTTGTTTATCCGAATGCTTGTATTTAACATCTTTCAAATTGATATTAACGATCAAGTTATCAACGCACATCCCGTTCCGCTAACTCACGAGTTGCGAGAGGTGAAAGACAACAGGTTTTCGCTCTCGATTAGGAAGTTCATTGTTATATGTTAGTATATATAGTGACTCGAATCCTAACTCGATGATTGCGTCATCTGAATATAATTGTTCAAATTTTAATTGCTTAAATTTACTTTTCTTCTCGCTTAAACAGTTAATTAATTTACTCCGTTTGGATAAAATTGTTAAAGCTAATATTCATGCAGAAAGTAAAAGTTACTTTTGTTTCCAAGGTAGAAAATATATTTATAAATTAATTAAGATTTATATAGAAATTTTTTTATTCAGTTAAGGTGAAGTGA